GGCTGAGCATCGCCCAGTAGGGGGCTGAGCATGGGTACGGGGCTGAGCATCGCCCAGCACGGGGCTGAGCATCGTCTGGTACAGGGCTGAGCGTGGGTACAGGGCCGAGCATCACCCGGTACATGACTGAGCATCATCTGGTACAGGGCTGAGCATGGGTATGGGGCTGAGCATCGCCCGGTACGGGGCTGAGCATGGGTACGGGGCCGACCATGGGGATGGCAGGGCCGAGCATCGCCCGGTACGGGGCTGAGCATGGGTATGGGGCTGAGCATCGCCCGGTACGGGGCTGAGTGTGGGTACGGGGCCGACCATGGGTATGGGGCCGAGTGTGGGTATGGGGCTGAGCGTGGGTACGGGGCCGAGCATCACCCAGTACGGGGCCGAGCATGGGTACAGGACTGAGCATCGCCCGGTATGGGGCTGAGCGTGGGTATGGGGCTGAGCATCGCCCGGTACTGGGCTGAGCGTGGGTATGGGGCTGCGTGTGGGTACAGGGCTGAGTGTGGGTACGGGGCCGAGCATCGCCCGGTACGGGGCTGAGCATCGTCTGGTACAGGGCTGAGCATGGGTATGGGGCCGAGCATCACCCAGTACGGGGCCAAGCATGGGTACGGGGCCAAGCATTGCACGGTACGGGGCTGAGCACTGGGATGGGGCCGAGCATCGCCCAGTACGAGGCTGAGCACCTGTATGAGGCCAAGCATTGCCCAGTACAGAGCTGAGCATCACCCAATATGAGGCTGAGCATCTGTATGGGGCAGAGCATCGCCTGGTATGGGGCTGAGCATGGGTATGGGGCTGAGCATGGCCCAGTACAGGGCCAAGCATCACCCAGTACAAGGCTGAGCACCTGTATGGGGCCGAGCATCGCCCAGTACAGAGCTGAGCATCACCTAGTAGAGGGCTGAGCATCTGTATGGGGCCAAGCATTGCACAGTACAGGGCTGAGCACTGGGATGGGGCCGAGCATCGCCCAGTACGAGGCTAAGCATCTGTATGGGGCCAGGCATTGCGTGGTATGGGGCTGAGCACTGGGATGGGGCCAAACATCACCCTGTACGAGGCTGAGCATCTGTATGGGGCCAAACATGGCGTGGTACGGGGCTGAGCATCAGTACGGGGCCGAGCATCGCCCAGTACAGGGCTGAGCATGGGTAGGGGGTCAAGCATCGCCCAGTACAGGGCTGAGCATGGGTAGGGGGTCAAGCATCGCCCAGTACAGGGCTGAGCATGGGTATGGGGCTGGCTGGCTCCTGGCAGGGCTCGTGCTGCCGCAGCTCGCCAGAGCCAAGGGAGGGCAGTTGCAGCTGGGCCAGGGGCCAAGAAGGCCACGTGAGCCGCAGCATCTCGCTTCTTCCTGGAGGGAAAAAAAAAAAAAAATCAGGCACGAAGCGCATGGCGGGGCAGGGCAGGGAGCGAGGAGCACGGTCTCTGCTCCATCCGCCTCTTGCCAAGCGAATTCGGCCCCGTCCCTCTCTGCACTCCTGTATGGAAGGGGCAGGCCCAGCCCCGCATGCCCCCTCGCAGCCTGGCCGCTGCTGCCTTCACCTAGGGGGGGGGAAATTCTGGCAGCACGAGGCCCCGAGAAGTCCTAAACCTGAGGGGAAGGATCAAAACACCGAGGATGTGCCCACCTCTGGTTTTAACACAGCTCCTGAAGGGGCTGGGAGGGTGGGCCTCGCTTAAAACAACGTGGTAGGCAAGAACACATCAAACCAGCTTTTTAAAATAATGGTTGTGATTTATAGAATTTTCTTAGCGTCTATAATTTTTATAAAATCACTCTGCCTCTCCATCAGAAGATTATCAGCGCGCCGTCACCACTCCTCCCCCTGCAAACGCAGAGGAACCAGGAAGCACAAGCGAGCAAAAATCGACGTAAACCGTCAGGCTCCGATCCCCACCCGGCAAGGGGGCGGCAGGGAAACACCCAGCGCAGAACAGTCCCAGCTCGCCCTTCTGCCTCTGCCCCAAAAGCTCCTTCAAGAGCAGGGACTGCTTCCCTCTAAGCAGGCTCCCCGTGCCCGGGCTTCCCCAGCCTACTGCGATACGGAAGAGATTTGCTTTCAAGCAATGCACTGTCACCAATGGGATGAGGATGGGGAAGGAGAGCACGGTGAAGGAATGCAAAAGAGTAATAAAATCAGGGGGGAAATAAGGACGATGGGGTGTGTGGTCAGGTTTGCACCCATTTTTATACTAGGAGCCTCTGAGATAAGGCTTCGAACACAGCCCGGGTGCTGCGGGAGAAGCAGCAAAAAGCAACTCGTTGACACCACCACTGAAAATAAGCCAGAGCAGATGAGATCTGGGCCGGCAGCTTGAGTTTATGACGCTCTGCCATACCCCATAGGAGGCCGTGCCAGGGGGGCAAGGCTGGCACAGCCCCAGGGAGCCAGCCAGGGGCAGAGGGAGCCAGAAACCAGCTGAGATTTTGGGCAGCAGCCTCAAGGGAGATTTTCCACGACCGGTGTCGAGGAGCAGCCGGACACTATGGGGTGAGACAGGAGATGGGGCACAGTGCTGGTGGGCAGTGAAGCCGATGGCAGCTCCCTGTCCCTGCCTGGGCTTCTCTAGGATGTATTTTGGCTGGAAAATAGCACAGCCCTGGGATATTACGGAAACAGCCTCGTTTATAGGGGCCGGGATGAGGAGGGAGTTTCTACCCTGTTCTCTGCAGTGCCAGGCCCTGCTGGGAGCCCACAGGGAGCAGGTCCCCATCCAAAACCCATGGGAGGTGGGCAAGATCGAAAAGTGATGAGGTGGCACTGCCTCACCATCCTCCTCCTCCTCCTCTAAAACATGCCATGGCTCCTTGTCACCTCTACCCCCCTGTGTCAATGGCTGCCAGGGACCCCGCGGCGTTTCCGCATCCTCCAGCTCCCGGCCACACGAGGACCTGGGAGTGCTCAGGTGCAGGGGCCAGATTCTGCAGAGGAGTGTGTGTGTGTGTGTGCAGCACCCAGACACCCCCCCCCCCCAGCACACGTGGGGCAGATCCGGCGCAGGGCA